ACATCTGTATGCCAATTGCACCCGTCTTGTAATATGATTTATGGACGGTCAATTTTCAAAATATTAAAGTATTTATAGATCTACTCGATCTACACTATTTTTGAAGTTTTAAATTTTATAATTAGAGATGAAAATAAAGTTTTAAGCTATCACAAAGATTTTTGATATACAAACAACATCTTTCAATGCTATTCAAAGATGCGTTTTATTTAGATTGTTCAGGACCTTAGCCTTATACAAATCAGAGGGGACCATGAGAAATTTAGAGAGAGATGTATAGACTAACTCTCAAGAAAATTAGAAAAAAAAAAAGAACCTTTTTTATAAATTTACTAAGATGATTTTATTTTATTGGTGAGGAAGTTGGAAGAGGACTGACCCCTTGGCAAGAATCGAGCCCAGGACGTGGCTTAGTAAATCATCAAGGGCTAATCAATTAAACCTTGGTTTTTTTAAATATCACATGATTTTAGGGAGAGAAAATAACAATTTTTTTTGGATGGTTTTTTAGAGAAAAAAAAAAAATTTATCTTGTACGTTTTTTTAGAGAGAGAAAATAACCATTTATGTTGTATGTTTTTCTAGAGAGAGAAAGAGGCGAGAGATTTTAGGAGAGAGAGCAAAGAGAATAGCGCCTTCCACAATACGACGACGAGACCCTTCTTCTAAATTCGGTGACGTGGGCCCACGCATGTTTAACCTCCTCCTCCTGGTTTCATCTAAAACCGCCAAATGGCTTGCAGAAAGCAGTTTTCCGTATCATAACCGGTTTTAAAGCTACTAAAACCGGTTTTATTGTCTTCGTTCTCCATAAATAACGCCTTTCCCGAGCTTATTCTCGTTACACTCACTGTTTGCTACCTTAAGCTCTTGCTTTTTCGAGTTTCTCTCTCTTAAACCCCAAGATGAGTACGTTCTGATTCACTTTTTCCTTTCTTTTTTCATTTTCTCTATTTCTATTTTTATTTTCTCTATTTCTATTTTTATTTTTGTTATGGTTTTTCATTTTTCCTCTGTTTAAGAAATCCTCTGGTTTCTCTACTTCTTGTCAAGATCTCGTCTTTTCTGTGGTTTCTCTCTCTAGAAACCAAAATGAGTATGTCTTGATTCTTCGCTCCACTCCTCTGTTCTTCGGTTTCTCTCTAAAAAAAACCAAAATGAGTACGTTTAGATTCATTTCTCTATTATTCTCTCGCTATTTTGTTTTTCACTTTTTCTAAAGAAAAAACAAGGTTTCCCCTCTTCTTGTATCTCTCAGTATTTTGCTCTTATTGTCTCTCTAGTAAACCCGAAGCGATCCGCCCGTTTCTTCTTGTTGGGTTTTCTTTTGTTTCCTCTCTCTCTCGCTCTTATTTGTGTCCTTTTTTGCAGGTTCAGGCAAGAAGATCAAGATCGGGATCAATGGTAATAACAAAAATGTAGCTTTTCGTTTTTGGGTTGTTGGCTTTGCCTGATTTTCTCCTCTGTAAAATATTGGTGCTTGATCTGATATTGTAAAATGTTAACAATCATTTCTCCCTCTATCAACTGTTATATGTTCAACATTCTCCAGGTTGGTTTTTACCTCTTTTAAGTCTCATGCATGATCCAGTTCATTTCAGTTCTCTGCCCGATTAACTTTTCTTGTAGTTCACTGTTATCTTCCATGCTTCTTTTTTTTTTTTTGTTAATTTCCTTTCGCTTTTTACATGAATTTTCTTTTCTGAATTGGGTTTTAATGGTAATGCATTAGGATTTGGAAGAATTGGTCGATTGGTTGCTAGGGTCGCTTTGCAAAGTGATGAAGTTGAACTTGTTGGTATCAATGATCCATTCATCACAACTGATTACATGGTAGCTCTCTTATTTTCTCTCTAGAAATTACAAGATTTCATACTCGTAATATGGTTCATTTGAATCATTTCAATACCTCAGTTTTTTCTGTCATTTACTTGTCTATGTTTTTTTTGGTTGATACTCTCTCCTCTCTGTGTGTGGCAATTACGATACTTTATATTCTTTAATGTGGTTAACTTACATCAATTCAAGATTATTTTAATTTATCATTTACCTGTCGATGTTTTCTTTTGTAGATCTACATGTTCAAGTATGACAGTGTTCATGGACAATGGAAGCACCATGATCTTAAGTTAAAAGACTCAAAAACCCTCCTATTTGGGGATAAACCAGTTACAGTATTCGGGGTCAGGTAAAAAATGGAGCCCCAGTTCTAATCTTTTAGAAACTTTGTATTACTTTCTGGTTTAAAATTTCGATTGAATTGTTGCAAATCAAAACAAAAAAAATGTAGATTGTGATTATTGTTTCATTTGCATTTGTGGGCTGTTTTACTTTCAAATTTTGATCTTAGTTATCTTTGTTTCCTTTATTTCTTTGGTTGGGATTAAAGAAACCCTGAAGAGATACCATGGGGTGAGACTGGAGCTGACTTTGTTGTTGAATCCACTGGAGTCTTCACTGACAAGGACAAGGCAGCTGCCCACCTTAAGGTCTCTCTCTCTCTCTCTGCATGCACACGTGTGACTATTGCTTGTAGCATTGCTTGTATTGTACGGATTACTGGTTTTTATATGAACAGAAAGATAGAAATCTTATTTAAAATCGATCTCTCGCTCTCTGCATGCACACGTGTGACTAGTGCTTGTAGCATTGCTAGTATTGTACGCATTACTGGTTTTTATATGAACAGAAAGACAGAAATCTTATTTAGAATCGATCTCGCTCTCTCTCTATATATATATCGTTTAACTTTTAATCGTAAAATTGCCACCATTTCAGGGAAGATTTCTGATTTTATATGTACAAAAATAAGGAATCTTATCATGGGATTAATCTCTTTCTCTCTCACACACACATGCGCATGCACACCAAGCCACATGTGCACACTTGCATGCTTACGCAGAATGGTGTCTAAATGTCCAATTAAGCATTGTCAATATTATACAAACTAATAATTTGTTTTTAGCATGATCAAAAGCATTGAATTTTGATTTCAAAAAGGAAAAAAATCAAAACATATATTTCCTATGTTAAGATTAAGATCTGGTATGTATTTGTCTTGATGTTTGCTACCCATTTTTTGAGCATCACTGGCATGATTTGTTCTTGATGCTTCCTGCGCATCCTTTTGAGCATCAACTGCATGATCCATTGCATGATTAAGTTAACATATTATGTGATGATTTAATGTATTTGTACTTGTTATAACGTGACTTAACATATATTTATCGGCCATTCTATGCCATATTGAATTATATGGAAACATTCAAAATGATGGTTATCTGTAAATTGCCTGATGGACCTCCAGTGTAATGCAATAATTAGTAATCAGTTGGTCATTTGTTGACCCTTTAATCTGCTGTTTTGGTAAAGATAGGACTTGAACTCTGTTATTGCTTGATACATGTAAACTCTCGGTTTAGTCTTTTTTCATTTCATTTCATTTATTCTGAAGATGGGTGCTTTGTGGCTTTACAGGGTGGGGCTAAGAAGGTTGTTATCTCGGCACCAAGCAAAGATGCTCCCATGTTTGTCGTGGGTGTCAATGAGCATGAGTACAAGAGTGACATTGATATTGTCTCCAACGCTAGCTGCACCACTAATTGCTTGGCCCCCTTGGCTAAGGTTCATCCTCTCTCTCTCTCTCTCTCTATATATATATATATATATACACATATACACACACACTTTATGTGTCCAAGCTGGCCTATGCTATAATATAGGCTAGATGGCCCAGATTGCCCAATCTGGATGGCCGACCTTCACTAATAAAGGTGGGGGTATTTTCATTGTTGTTTTGTAAGTATGATTTCTTTTTTATCCTTCTCTTGGTTCACCACATCTCTCCCCAAAATTTCAGCTCAAAAGATTTTATAAAAAAATAAAATAATGCTGTTGGTCATTGGATGTACTCAATAATCAATTTGAGTTGTCTGGCCTACTATTCTATTGGGTAGCCAGAACTTTCCTATTTCCCTTCCTTCGACCCCCCCCCGGCTAGGCACATTCACAAGCATATACAAATCTAAGGTGAGGTTTCTATGTTATATGGAGACGCAACATTTGGATCTTGATCAAACGATTGCAAGTGAGCTGACAACAATGTTAACACAATAGTTGTGACTTGATAAAAACAACTAACATCATTATCATTGTAGGCTCACTTTATAGCCGTGCGATCAAGATTAGACGGTTTTGGGTCTCTAGAATTAAATCAACTGAGTGTATGGATACATAGAGAAAGGTTTCCCTCTAATGTGTCTCTGCATGTTTTCCTTTCTATTTATGTATAGGGAAGTGATGTTATGGGTCATGTTTCATTTATAGTATGATGAACTTGGTCTTTTAGAAAATCATGTCATGGGAAGTGTATACCCCTAAATTTCGCGGATGCACTCTTTTCATTCCAATAATAAAATCTCAAAAAGAATAATTGAATTTGCATCCTAGAAAAGGTCAAAATAAGTCCAACAAAGGATCCAAACTGACCATTTAGTGGACATTGAGATCTAAGCTTTTAAGAACTCAAACTTTTCTAGGATGCATTGTCAATTTTTTTTTTTTTTTTTGAGATTGTTTATATGAATGAAAATGATGTATTTTACAAATGCCCCTGACATGAATTTTGAGGGGGCGCTCCATTATGATACTATAAAACCGTTGCATGAAATACTCCCCTTGTCTATATATTTATGTCTCTTGTTTGGTCTTCAAAAGAAAGATGATTATCTTTCTCTGTTTCTTTGGAGTAAGACTTCTAGGGTGGTTGTTTTTTTTTTCTGAACTTAAGAATTCTAGGATCGTTACTATTGAGAACCCTAAAAATTGAGAATGAATGAGTGTCCTTTTATGGTGAACAGGTTATCAATGATAGATTTGGCATAGTAGAGGGTCTGATGACCACTGTACACTCCATCACAGGTGCATCTCTCTCTCTCTCCCCCTCCCTCTCATCGTTAATTTCTGTTTTATCTCTCTCTCTCTC